TCAATTTATTGGGTGAACTGGCCATTTATTTTGGAAAAATACTTAGTCATTAATAAAGCTGTATTCCAGATGAAGTAAAAATCAAATTTTTATAACACTCTTTAAAAACTTAGATTATGTAGGAGATAACTATAGTCAAGGAGAAGCTTTCTTAAAATAAAGAGCAGAAAGTAAAAACTTTAAAGAAAAACAAAAGAATAATTAGGAAACAAATTAGAAAAATACCAACAAGAATTTTGTTGCAAAGCTGGCATGGTGGCACATGCCTGTAATCTGAGCAGTCGGGAGGCTGAGGCGGGTGGATTGCTGTGAGTTCGAGGCCAGCCTGAACTACACAGCGAGACCCTGTCTCAAAAAAAAAAAAAGTGTTGCAAACACCTAAGTGCATACATACATACATATGTACACATACATACACCACAAATCACCAAGAGAAACCTAACATTCAGTGGAAAAACAGGTAACATTGAAAGCAAATGAATATAGACAATTCATAGAAGAGGAAATTAAAATGGTCGATAAACATGAAATATTCTCATGATCAATGATGTAAACAGAGTTCTCAGTACATAGAAGTACAAATGCTTGATACTAGTTTAACAGTATGAAGTGTTAAATAGGTGTGAGACAGTGGAGTGTGAGTGGGTATGTAAATCAGAAATCAAAATGCATTTATCTTGTGCCCCAGCAGTTCTTTTTTTGGAGAAACACTGAATATATGTTGTGTGTACAAGGAAAACAGGATGCCCATTGTTGCATTGTATATAATAGGTGAAATTCCAGAATAACCTAAATAGCTATCAACAGATAGGTAGAAAACAAGTAGTAGACTTGGAGGCAATTAAAAGCAAATAATTGGGGCTGGGGATTTAGCTCAGCGGCACAGCACCTGCCTGGCAAGTGCAAGGTTATGAGTTCAATTCCCAGTACCGGAAAAAAACAAAAAAAAAAAAAAAATAAGCAAACAAACAAAAAAGCAAATAATCGAATCTATATGAGTTGTAATGGATAGACCTCAAAACTATGATACTGTGAAAAAAATAACATAGAATGATATGTATATTAAAATCAGGTATTTCTGTGCCAAACCCTCAGTTCAGTCTTTAACACCAAAGGGAAAAAATGCCAGATACTTTCTATTCACGCACATACTAACATATATTAGGAAAAGAAGACAGTGTTGTGTAGCAAGGAGTTGTCAAGGGGTAGTTTGGTTTCACCTATAACATTCTAATTATTCTTAAAGGAAAAAATTAAAGGAATATACATACAAATATTACTGATAAAATTATAAAAGTAAAGTACTAGAAGTGAACATAGTACACTGCTAAGAGTGGTTCATTATGGGTGATTGTTTCTGTATTGTACATTTATGTGTGCTCTTCCCTAGTTCTCCCATGAAGCTAAGAAATACTCTTTTCCCATTTCTGAACAGTTTGTCCTAAAGCCATAAAGTAGTATAGAACAAATTAGACATTTATGTCAAAGGGAGGGTACCCACAGGACATTGGAACCTGAGGACAGTGAAATGCAAAAGGGAGCGTGCTGTATGGCTATTGTAGGGCATCAGGGCTGGGGATGTCGCTCAGCAGCATAACACCTGCCTGGCAAGCGCAAGGCCCTGCGTTCAATTCCCAGTACCAAAAAAAGAAAATAGTGGAGAAAAAAAAAAAGGCCCCCTCCAAAAAGCCCCATATTGTAGGGCATCAGCCTGAGCTGGTGAAGACCATGTGAGATATTGAAGCCTGATGAATTAAGGGCATGTATAAAGAGGGTTAACCTGATGTGGCAAGTGGAAATCCAGATTAGTTTGTAGAGGTAGCCTGGTGTGTAGATTCAGAGCCTGGGAAAAAGGTATCCATTTGGAGAGGAGCAAGATGGCCCACTATAGGATGTCAGAACCTTAGATAGTTTGGGAGAGTAACATGGATGAGGGAAGATCCATTGTGGGAAACTGAGTGTGAGTAGGTTGCATAGAGTGTCCTGCACAGGGATGGCTTGATGGGGGATGTCGAAGGTGAATGAGTTCTCTGAGATGGGCTGAAAAATTGGTTAGGGTGTTAGTTTGGTTATAATAAGGTACTAATGAAATAAATACACTAGGGATAATGGAAACAAGGTTTTTCACTGTAAGAAGAGTTCACATATGGAAATGGAGGTATTGATGTGAACTCATGGGTTTCAAAATGTAAATATAGATATTTCCCCTAGATCTACCCACTAACATAGCTCAGAACCAGGAACATCTCAGGAACTGTGAACAAACCTAGGGTTTGATAATTGTGTTCAGAACACCACTGTTTACTGAAATTGAGAAATGGTATTCAGTGGTGGAGTAGGGAAAGTAGAAGGTGGCCCTGGGAACATTTAGTGTCAGAAAGGAAGAGGATACTTTTAAGAGTGATGAGGACATAGCAAAAAGGTACAGAAATCAGCCTGAGGGAGCAAACCCTGGCCATGTTTAGCACATATTGACTATCAGAATAATTAGACAGTAGTAATAGATTATGACCATTAAATATCATTGGGAAACATGGGTCTGAACTGATATAAATAGATAACTAAATCTGAAGTTTGATGAGGCACATATTGTTGACATAGTTTCACAGCACTTACTCACAAAATACTTCATTAATGTGGAAGGAAAATAGTAACTGTCGTGGAGAATACCAACAAACCTCATTTTAATCAAGTGATTAAAAGTATGAGATAAATTACAGTCATGTACTGTCTTTTTAGGGTTCATTGACAAGAACATGACATCTCTTTTTTTTAGAATGAAAGATGTATAACCTGAATCTAGTTTTGAGTTGAACACAGTCTGATCAGATAGATCCAAGTAAAGGGAATTCTGTGAAATAACTGGCATGTTAACCTTCTAAAGTATCTAGTTCATGAACTTCATTCAAGTAAAGGCTGAGAAACTCTTTTCGGCCTGAATGAAACTACAGATTCAGACAACTGTACTGTACTTCACACTACTAACTGCAGTGTATAATTCTGAGCTAAATTCATTTTCCACAGAGGACAGTCATTCACTATGGGGACAAAGTAAAGGCACGTGAGTGGTATTATTGGGTATCAGGTCAACAGTTTATCCTCAGGTGGCTGAAGAAATAGACTGCTCTCTGTTGATGTACCGTCTGTAAGTTTAGTCCTACCCCATAGATCACATATGTTCACTAATACCAGCTTCTAAAATGTTCTCCATTCATGTGTCTTAGAATTATTTTCATTGTCATGTCTTCAAATTCACTGACCTTTTATTATACAGATTTTAATCTTCTGTGAACTTCATGTGATTTTTTTCTCATTTTGGATATTATACTTTGCAGCTTTAAAAGTTTCAATTTTGAAGTTTTCTTTCCCCTCTCCATAATGTTCACTTTTTTTTCATTAAACCCTTGAGTATGTTTATATCGACTGAATTACATTATTCCCCCCTCTTGCTCTCTCCTCCTCTTCCTGCATCCCTCCCAGTGGTAAGAATGAATGTAGGGCCTCAGACATGCTAGACAAATGCTCTGCCACTGAGCTGCATACCTAACGCTGTAATAGCTGTTTGAAGTCGTTATTTTCATTTTCTCCTTCATTTTGGAGTCTGTCTTACTATTTCTATTTTCATTTCTGCTTATGGATCTCATTTTTTGTTTTGTTTTGTAATTACTATTTTATCCTGGATATTTAGACCCTAAGTTTGTTGAATGCTTGGGTCTTGGATCTTTTAAGAGTGGTACATTTTGCTTTGGTAAATGAGTTGCTTGTGATCAGTTTGGTAGTATCAAAGCTGTTTCCTGTGTTTTGTTGGGGAGGTTCCTGAATAGTGTTTATATACCCACTAGTTAGTCCTGATTCTCAGATAGGACTCTTGTGAGCTTTCTACTGACTGCTTTAAATGTTCATAAAGTTCTCGCTTTTCCTATTTGAGCTTAGTTTGGTTGGTTATTTTCTTGCATAGTATCACAAACATTTTCATTGTAGGTGGTTGAACTGATCTAAGGTTGGGGATTGATAGTGGTTTTTGGCTGACAAAAGGAAGAAGATATGGGAGTGCTGGTAGGAGAATAGCAGAAGTAAAGTGGTGATTCTCAATGTAATGTGAATGTTCTTTCTGGATTCGATAGGGTCTTATTTCTAACTACATATTTGTCTAGAGAAGAAACTGAAGGCATTAGGAGTGCAGTGAACTGTGAAAAAAGGGGATGGTTCTAAGGAATATGTCCCAGCAACTGCTTAGGTTCCTGCTTTCTGATTTTCTGGCCTTCACCGTTATGCAGGGTGTCTTGTTTGTATCTGCCATTTCACTGGACAGTATCTTTCTCCAACTTGGCCTTTTTGTCCTCATGAGCAGTTAGCTTTCATACATGCTTGTGTTCTGGCTTCAACCTTCTGTCCCCAGGCCACCATTTTTACTTGAATTTCACATTCTTAACCATAGTTTGACTATTTTTCTATATCAATTTCTATACCCTCACAATTATTTAACCCTTTCATTGAATCTACAAAATTTGTCCCAAATAAGAGTACTGACCTGTGTTACCCACTTCATTTTTTAATTTTCTCTGGGACAAATACAATCCCCATTGCTGAGCAAGGATAAATGACACTGTGTTACTAGTCTTTGTTTTAAGTGCTAGATTTAAGAGTATTTATTAGATTATTAGCCCATATTTCAATTTCTTGGTTATTTAGGGGCTTAGAAATATATATTCAAAGGACGTAAGAAGGTTTTCATTTCAGGAATGTGGAGAGAAAAAGTGAGACTGAAGGGCAGCATCTGACAGGTTTCAAATTCATTTTGCCAGTTTAGCAATATCAAAATATCAATATCAAAATGCATTGATACTAATTAGAAGCACAGAATACATATCAAAGGATATGAATAGGAATGATGCCTTTTGTATCATCAGTTAATATACACAGTTTTTAAAGAAAAACTATTATACTAGTTTTAGTCATGTTTCAATGTAATTTTAAAGTATTTTTCAAATTTCTTACAGTAATCCCAAATCGGAGAATCAGAGAGTAAATAAAAAAGTCAACAATGATGCTTCACTTAGAATTCACAATCTATCCATTTTGGTGAGACAGATAAAATTTTATTACCAGGTAAGTGGTCCTTTTTAAAAATCTGGTATTTTAATGACGTTATATATTTACATTGTTACGTTATGTAGTATCACTCATGTAACAAACATCGTATTTTAGGTCCTGGTCTGTTTACTCGAGATTCTGCAAATGCTTCATAACTGTCTACTGTTAAAAGTGATGACTGCATTTTATATATTTTTAAAATCATTTCTGAGTTTCCTGAGAACTTGTTCAGTGCAACATTTTCTTAACCTATTATAATTATGCTTTTGAAGAGTGTTCTTTTTATTGACTTAAAAACTTGGAGTGTTTTAAATGTGAGTCTTCTTGTTACTGCTGAAACAAGGTCTGATTAGACCATTCAGTGCAGGCCTGAATTCAGTCCCTCTGCCGCAGTCTTCTCCCACAGAGGGTGTACACATGTGCCATCATGCCTGGCTAATACGAGCATTCTTGAGGTTAGAGCTGCATTACACAATTTAGGTTTAGTATATTTTAAAAATACTATGCATTTTCTAATTTCACCTGTAATTTATTTCATTTGTGAGTTAGGCTTCTAAATTCCAAACATGGTACGTCTCAAGCAATCTTTAGTTTTGATTTTTACTTAAATTTGTTTGTATGATTTGTTGATACTTGTTAATAATTAGTTGGCTTGGATATATTAATTTTGTCTCTTGAACTAGTATACAGAATTAGGCTCAATCCCTAGCACTAAATAAAATAATCTTTTTTATTGTTGTTATTTAACAACACCCAAATCAATACAGTTCTCTGTACCTGTTGGACTATCTTATCTCTTATCTCTTAAAAAATTAAAAAAAAAATTAATGAGGGTCTATGAATTTTCTTGTGTTTCATATATCCCTCAGAAAAGATACTTGCAGTAAAATATTTTGGTATATTTTGATGGTTCTGACTCACCAGAGGAATGTGAATTTGGGTAAGTGAGAATTCAAATGTGTATGTCTCCAAAAAAGTACTTATCATAAGTTGGTAAGAATTATGGTTATATTGCAAAAATAATTCTCAGAGAAAAAAAGCAAGTTGACCTAATTTGAGTGATTGTGAGTGATGGAAAGGGTAAGAGGAGGCATTATTTGAGTCTATCTTTGTCAGTAATGATAGGTAAATTTAAAAGTCAGTATTGGGGCTGGGGATTTAGCTCAGTGGCAAAGCGCTGGCCTGGCAAGCTCAAGGTCGTGAGTTCAGTTCCTGGTACCGGAGAAAACCAAAAAAAAAAAAAAAAAAAAACTCAGTATTGTTTTATTTTAATCACCTAGAATAAACAAAAGTTCAGTACAAATTATGATGTCATTCACATTTTCCCTCTCCCATTTATCAAATGCCAGTCATTCTACGTGACATTGGGGCTATACTATATATGGTATGTCCCTATTTTTCACCAGACTTATAGTGAGGGATAACAGCAATAAAACAACTAAGTAAAATAATTTTGATTGTGATAAATAATATAGACAATAAAGTAGTAATGTAGAAGTCATGGTAGAAGTGTGTCGGCAGTTCAGACTTAAGTTTTCAAGTCAGCAAGTAAGTATAGCTTTTATATAAAAATACCTAAGGTTTTTGCTTTGTTATTTTTTATTCCTGTGAGGGAGAGATATTGAATTTGAATATCAGAAGATTCAGCTTACAAGTAAAAATCTGAGTCCATTGTTAGAATTCTGTGGAAGCTAGCTATAGTTGAAGTACTAGAAAAAAAAGTGCCTTTCAGCCACCATTAGAATAATGATCTGAATCATTTGAGACGAAAAAGAAGAGAACTTTACAATCAGGAAACTAAAATGTATTAGGAAGTGTTTGTATGGTTTCCCATCACTAATATTAAAAAACAGCTATAGTATCAATAATCTAGTTACTATAGAAAGCATATATTTTTCAAGTTTTTTCTTATAATCTGTGATAATAAGCAACATTTGGAATATTAATAAAATTCAGTAGCCAAGGAAACTAGATCATATATGTATATATGTGTATATATATCTGTGTAGCCCACATGTTCTTTATTCATTCATCTGTTGATGGACTCTATGCAAACTGCTTTCAAGATTTAGCTGTTATGAATTGTACCACCATAAACATGGGTATGCATATATCACTACAATATGATGCCTTTAGCTCTTTGAGGACGATACCTAGAACAGGAAGAGCTAGGTTGACTGGAATTCTTAGTTTTATTTTTTTGAGGAAAAAAAAAAATACTGCTTTGCATAGTGGTTGTGCGAGTTCACATTCCCACCAACAGTATAGGGGGGTTCCTTTTTCCCTGAAGTCTTTCTAGTATTTGTTTTATTTGATTTCTTGAGAATAGCTATTCTTTGTGGAATAAGATAGAATCCCAGTGTTGTTTTAATTTGCATTTCTGTCATGGTCAGTGATGTTGAACATTTTTTCAGGTATTTGATTTTTTTTTTTTTTTTTTTTTGTACCAGGAATCAAACTCAGGATCTTGCACTTACCAGGCAGGCACTGTGCCACTGAGTTATATCCCTGGCCCCTTTTCATGTGTCTGAGAATTGTCTTTTCATTTCAATTTCCCATTTTTCAATTGGGTTTTTATTTTGCGGGGGGGGTGTCTAATTTTTTTGTTATTCTTCATATATTCTGTATATTAGTACTCTTCTTGAGTAGTTGGCAAAATTTTTTTTCCATTTTGTAGTGTGCCTTTTGATGTGGTTATTTCCCTTGCTGTGCAGAAGCTTTGATTGTTGATGTTATTTCTTGTGCAGTTTGGGATTCTGTTCAAAAAGCCCTTATCCATTTCTGATGTTTTCAAGAGTTTTACTTATTTTATCTTCCAGAAGATTGTTTCTATTTTCATATTTAGATCTTAGATACATTTTTATTTTAGTACATGGTGAGTGATACAGGTCTAGAGTCATTCTTCTGCGTGGGTATAATCATTTGTCCCAGGACCATTTGTTATAGAGGCTATCTTTCTTCCAACATATGGTTTTTGCTCCTTTGTCCAAGTCCAGATGGCTAAATGTGCCTGGGGTTGTTTCTACATTCTGCTCCATTAATCTGCATGTCTGTTTTTGTAGCTTTGAAATAAATTGAAGTCTAGGTTTATTATGTCTTCTGCTTTGCTTTTGTTGCCCAAGATTTCTTTTGCTATTTTGAGTCTCTTTCAGTTCCATATAAAGTTGAGTATTTTTTTTTTTTTCGTTCTATGTGGAGTGCTGTTGGTACTTTGATTGAGATTGCATTAAATATATCTGTTTTGGTAGTACTGTATGGCTATTTTGATAACATTGGCTCTTCCTATTCAGGAGCAGAGGATATCTTCTTTTTTTTTTTTTTTTTTTTTTTAAGCCACGGTCTCACTATGTAATCCAGGCTAGCCTCGAGCTCTCATCAGTCTTCCTGCTTCAGCCTCTGAGTGCTGGGATTACAGGTTTACAGGCATGTGCCACCATGCCCGGTATCTTTTTATTTTCTGATGTCCTCTTTGATCTCTTTTTTTAAGAGTACTGCAGTTTTCATTATACAGGTACTGTGAATGAGATTGTTTTCCTAATTTCTTTTTTCTTGGGTTCACTTCGGTGTGCAGGAACTCTTGACTTTTGGTGTTGTTTTGATATCCTGTTACATTGCTGAATTTGATAATTCTGTCAGTCTTCTGATGGACTTTTTTGGGTCTTCTCTATACAGGGTTGTGTTATCTGTGAATAAGGACGGGTGACTTCTTTCTTTCCTATATGTGTTCCTTTTATTGCTTTCTCTTGTGTGATTGCTCTGGCTAAAGGTTTAAGTACTGTATGTAACAGGAGTGGTGAGAGTGGACACCTGTGTCTTGCTCCTGATTTTAAAGGAAGAGCTTTCAGTTTTTCCCCGTGTAATATGATGGTGGCAATAGCTTTGTTATAAATGCTTTTTATCATACATAGATAAGATTCTTCTACCTGTTTTCTTCAGGTGTTTTTTTTTTTTTAATCATGCAGGTTTTTTCTGCATCTGTTAGGTGATCATGTGATTTTTTGTCTGTTTCTGTGATATATTACATTTATTGATTTGCACATGTTCAGCCATTCTTGTGTCATTGGGATAAAGCCAACTTGGTCATGTGCATGATCTTTTTAATGGTTTGTTGCATTCTGTTTGACAGTATCTTCTTAAAGATTTTTGCATCTATGTTCATTAAAGAGATTGGCCTGTAGTTTTGTTCTTTACTTGACTCTTTGTCTGGTTTTGGAATCAAGGCAATGCTAGCTAATGTCCAAGAATGAGTTTGGTAGTATTCCTTTGCTTGAATTTCATTGAAGAATTTGAAGGGTATTGGTGTTTTAGATATTGACTGAAGTTCTTGTAAAGTTCATCAGTGAATCCATCAGGTCCTTTGTTTTTCTTAGTTGGTAGGGCTTTTTTTTTATTACTGCCTCAATTTCATTGCTTGTTACTGGAATGTTTAGCCTTGTTTATATCTTCTTGGTTCCATATTGGTAACTCATATGTATTAAGAATCTAACCATTAGATTCTCCAGTTTATTGGAGTGCTATACAAAGTAGTTGTTAATTTTCTGCATTTTGATGGTTGTTAATTTTTTCTTATTGATTACAGTTCTTCAAGTCTTTCTGGACTGTGCTTCTACCAAAATAGAATTTCTGGTTACTCAGTGACATTTTGCTTTAATAGCCCTGGAAATGTTCAAATTCTGTATATTTGAATCTTGACATATCTTTGAAAAATTTTTAACCTAATTGCTCCATTTTATTTTTATCTTTAGCATTCGTCAACAACAATACTTAATTTCTATCTACTCTTACTAAAATGTTAAATTCAATGAGAGCAAGAATTTCATTGTTTACTGCTATATTTCCAGAATCCTGAACAAGGTGTGGCAGATAGTACACAATTGATAAATATTTGTTGAATGAATGACTGCCTTGATTTTGTCAAAACTTTTTCCCTTCAGTTGCCTGACCAAAACTCTTTTATTATTATTATTATTTTAAAGAGAAAAGAACAAAAACAAAATAACACAAAAACAGTAAAAACAATACAGAACTTCAAAAAAAGATGATAAGAAATTAACAATGGTTGTTGTATTACATATTGTTATCTTCAAAGTAGTTGCTCAGACTACCAGATACAGGTATACAAGATTGATCAAACAATTAAACATTAACTGTTCCTTTCAGTAAACCATTAAAAATTAGTATGACCAGAACTCTTTATCTGTGATTTCTATAGATCTTACGTCTTAAGTGACAAAATTAAGTTTTCTTTACTAGTTCATGTGCATACATTATCTTTGAACTGTCAATTAATTTGTTCCTCTTAGTGAAATCATATTCATCTTCAACTCATTTATCTATTTTTCTACATATTTAATACCTTGATAATGAATGTCTTTAGAGCTGGGTGAACTCTAGCGGGCTTGGGGATTCCTTGGTAAAGCTTTGACAATAGCAGTCAGTTTTTTAGCCGTATACATATCTTTTATGTCATGTATATTTTTAAATACTACTTTTGAGATTGGGGTAGGGAAATAAAAAGGAGTTTTTATAAAAACAGTGGATCCTCTGAAGAAGAGATAGAGAAATGAACTAGATATTTTTGCTTCTTTTGAGACAGGGTCTCCACGTGTAGTTCAGGATGGCCTTATACTTATGGCAGTCCTCCTGCCTCAGCCTCCCAAATGCTGGGATTGCAAGCGTGCACTACCACCTCTGGATCCCAAGTAGAAATTTTAAAATAATTTACTTTTTAAAAAATTGTATAGCTTTAACTGAGATTAACACTTTCAGGCATAAAGTTAATACTTGAAAATAAAATACTGTAAAAGGTAGGTTCATCCCACTAACTCTGTTGTATAACCTTCAACAACTTAAAATGTTATACTTTTATGTTATTTTCTACTCTCCTCAGCAAATGACATGTATGTGAGAAACTCATGGAGCTAAATTTAAGCCTGAACATTTTGAATGTGCTCTATCAGAGTACATTAATAGGCATTTATGTTCTATACAAGGACATATTTTTAGATGACATGGAGTAAGTTTGAACTTTGAAATTTGTATCATCTAACAAAAAATCAGGCTTCGTGGGGTAAAAGATTGTGTTCATCCAAGGTCACTATGACCCATCTGGTGAAAAGGGTGTGAGGTAGCTTTGGTCGTAGTGAAAAGACTGGTTTCACATGGGAGCATGGAGAAACAGAGCAGACAGGAGCACTGCTGAGGAAGGTTCAGGAAGAGAGCAGGGCCACACTGAAAGTTACCCTGCTTGGGGGCCCTGTATTCATCACAGTGTGCTCCCAGAAATGGTACATGGTAAAGAGTAACATTAACCACTGTGGAAACACACCAATATTCTAACTGATTTGTCAGTTTCAACTAAAAAATATTTCTCAATTATTACTCAAAAATAAGCACCATAAATAAATTTAATCTTTTATCTGTGAGGTCTTTAAATTGAAGTTTCTTTTTGATAATTCATGGTCTATTAAAATTTAAAGCTTTTGAGTAAGATATTTTTTGGTTGTGTGTGTGTGTGTATTACTGGAGATTAAACCAAGGGCCTCCTGCATGCTAGGTACTGTCACTGCGCTGTGTCCCCTGCCTGTCCCTCCCTTTAAATTTTATTTTGAGACAGTCTCAGAGTTACCCTGGTTTGGTGTTGACCTTGTGATTCTCCTGCCTCAGCCTCCTTGCTAGCTGAGATTATAGGCAAGTGCCATCATTCCCAGTATGAGAGAGAATTTGAAGTCTCTTTATTCTGATGTAGGTGTTGTGTTCATGAAGTATGGTACAGACAAAACAGTGATTGCTTTTTGTTTTTGTTTTTTTGAGACAGGGTCTTGCTGTGTAGTTCAGGCTGTCCTTGAGCTCACTTTGTAGCCCAGGGTGGCCTTGAACTTGCAGTGGTCCTCCTGCCTCAGCCACCCAAGTGCTGGGATTATATGCATGTGCTACCACGCCCAGCAGAATTTTTGTTTATTTTTGGTACTGGGAATCAAACTCACAACCTTGCAGTTGGCAGGCAGACTGTGCTGCCGAGCTCTATCCTCAGCCCCAGTGATTGCTTTTTAAGAAAACTCAATTTATGATTTCTTTTAAATATTTACAGTTAAAGTTCTTATAATGTTGCTACAAAGCAAAGAAACTAAAAATTAGAATAAATTAGAAATCTATACCTTGAAGTCATGTTAGCTGTTTTATATATAGAGCTACAATATATTCTCTGTGATAGAACTTGCTTTTAACTGGAGAATTTATTAAATATCCAAACTTAGTATCTTTCATTGTAGTAGGTGATTTTAGCAATTTTTGACACATAGATTACTGATTTTATTTTTCTAACATAGTACACATACTCTTCTTCAAATGCATACATATTTTTGGTAGACTTTTTTTTTTTTTTTTTTTTTTTTTTTTTTTTTTTTTTCTGGTACTGGGAATCAAACTCACGACCTTGTGCTTGCCAGGCAGACGCTGTGCTGCTGAGCTAAATCCCCAGCCCCTTTGGTAGACTTTTAATTAACTAGTAAGTTATTGTTGAAGGAAAGTTTTTTGAACTTTTCCAATAAATAGTGAAGAATTGTAGATGAAACGTTAACTTACATCTGGGGTCATGTATCCCATTAACCACGGACAGAGGCTTCAGTGGATCCAGAGTATCACGTATTTAAAAAGCAGTACAACTTCATATGTGCAGCACTGGGAATTGAATCCAGGGACTTTGCTGAAAGCACTCTGCTACTATCTCCTGCCCTTTTAACTTTTACCTTAATACAGAGTCTCACTAAATTTCCTAGGTGTGCCTTGTACACTGAATTCTTTTTCTCAGCTTCCTGAGTAGTTTAGAGTACTGATTTTGCCACCACACCCATCTACGTTTTCAGAATTATTTTTCCTGGTTATTTGCTTCACCACATTATCATGTTAAAGAATGATGATTCACAAAAATGAGTATTTCAGAAATTTACTCCACAGTAGCTACTTGTGTAATATAGAAATATTTATTTTGTTTGTTTTTTGTTTTTGTTTTTCTTCTGGTACCAGAAATCAAACTCACGACCTTGCGCTTGCCAGGCAGGCACTTTTGCCACTGAGCTAAATCCCCAGCCCCTAGAAATATTTATGTAGTCAAAGCCAGTTTGTAAAGAAACTGTCTTGGTTATTTCTGTAATCTTGCAAAAATTTGATAATTTCACATGATACCATCTATTCTGTAAATACATCTCAGACTCCTGTAGCATATCAGCAATGTCAGTAGTTGTAATGGTAGACCGACGTGTCCCTTCAATTCTTGAAGGAAAGGGTTGTATGGATAGAACAGGGACACTTGATTATGTATTACCAAAAATGAGTAACTTAGAAACATTCAGCTCTTAAAAAAATTCTTTTCTTTCTGAAGCATTCTATGACATCAGGATGTACATATGTTCTTTGTCACTAAAAGTTTGATAGAATCTATTACAGATACAGGACAGAATTGATTTACCAAGAAGAACACACTTTTGTGAAATGATCGTAAGACAGGATAGTAATTAGCTTTGTTGATTTTGAAATTGGCTGACATCTTAAATTCTCTCAAAGAGAAATACTTTAAAAACTCAGAAAGTTATATTAGTTACCTTTCCTTTTGCAAGGACAAAATACCTGATACCTGAAACTTGAAGAGGGATTTATTTTGGCTCACTTTCCATGTGGTTGGTAGGCTTCCAGGAGGAAACATCATGATGGAATGGCATGGCAGAGGAAAGCTGCTCAACTAATGATGTCCAGGAAGCAGAGAGCAGGGAAGAGCCCCAAAGATGAAAGGGCTAGGGAGCAAATATCATTCCCAGAGCCACTCTGCCACGGTCCACCCAGACATAGCAAAAAGTGTGCTTTACTGAGCTCCTTGGTAGATCACAGTCTAATCAAGTTGGTAATCAGAATTAGCTGTCACAAGAGTACTAGTGCTTCATCTTTTATTGAGCAATATAGTTCAGTTTTCTGAACTTAAAACCTTAGATTTCTAAATAATAAGTATTAGGCCAGTTCAACTCAGACACTTTTACTTTGTGGACATTGTCTTTCTGGTATAATTTTAGTTATTTAATTTATTAATTTAAAGTTACAAAGGATTTAAGACTTTATATCTTCACATTTGTTTTATTTGAAAAATTACTGTATATTGTATCTAGAAAATAGTGTACAGTCATGTTATAACTTCATCAATGATTACCTACTCAGCATTAGCCATACACTAACTATTTGGTATCATTTTACAGGAGACTTTGCAGCAGTTAATTATGATGTCATTGCCAAATGTCTTAATCATTGGCAAAAATCCTTTTTCTGGTAAGTATTAAAATACAATGTGATAATAATGTTCTACTTTTGTGTGATACTATGTTTACACAGTGTTTTTCACAACTTCTTTAGAGAAGCTGGAGGTGATGCTGCAGTTGGTAGCGAGAAAACAAGCTTAGAATTTGTAAGTTGTAGGAGGACCAGACACACTTCAGCACAAAGTTCAGTGTTTTTCCTACTATACCAAACAGATAGCTTTTGGTGATTATTATTATTTTTAATGTCTCATAAACAAATATAAAAGATGATGTAGTTACAAGCTTATAGGAATATAACATAAGACATGATTTTGAAATAACTTCTGTTTGTATACCTACCATTGCCAAAGTTTGACAATAAGATTTTGCTGATGTTTTAAACTTCCCTTTTAATTTTAAATTTTTTTTTTTTTTTTTTTTTTGGTACCAGGAATTGAACCCAGGACTTTGCTCTTGCTAGTCAGCCGCGTGTGCCACTGAGCTACGTCCCTAGCTCATTAAACTACTACTGAGTGAAAAAATGAGAAGCAGTTTCTTAGATCATTTAAATTACTTTACTTAAAACTCTTATCCTTTACCAGATTTTAAATGTGACATGTTGAGGTTTTTGTTTGTTTTGGGTACTGGTAGTTAAACCCCACAGCCTCTCACATGCTAAACACACAGTTACCACTGACCTACACTCCTGGCTCCGAGAGTTTTAATTTTGAATATAAAACTTAATCCCTGCTAGAGACATGGTATCCAAGTTCAGTCTACTATATCTTTTCTGACCCCTGTCCTTTCCTGTAGTCAAAATCAACAACAACAAAAAAGGCAACTGTTTTGAAAACTAATTCATTGGATTAGGAGTTAATTCAACTAGCTAAATAAGGTATTTAGTCTCTGGAGATACTTCGAGGTTTTTGATCACTAGCTCAGTGGTAGAGCCCTTACCTAGCATGGCCAAGGCCCTGGGTTCAATCCAAGCACTTGGGTAGGGGAAGAAAAAAAAGAAAGAAAGAAAAAAGGAAGGGAAGGAGGGAGGGAGGGAGAAAAAGAAGGAAGGGAAGGAAGGAGGGAGAGATGGGGGAGGAAGGAAAGACAGTTTCCAGGTAGAAAGGAATTTTCAATTCCATCTGCATTTAGTAACTGACTCCGAGGTTTAGGGACCAGGTATTTAAAGAAATGGTCTATGTTCTGGGGGATCTTGTGATTTACTAAAAGATCCATACATTACTGGGAAGTCTTGCAACAATTAGTATGAACTAGAGATACATATAAAATAAGGAGCCATTGTTTTTTTGAACAGTAATTGCTATATGTTTGTGATAGGTTTAGGGCCATTAGTATTGGTTTAGGGAAGACTACACAAAGATGTAAGAGCTTTGCCTAGACAGTGGTGGCAAACATATGGCACATGTGCCACAGCAAACTGTTGGTATCATTGAAAGCTCTAGAAGGTTCACCATCACTCACCTAGGATACTGATTATTAGTAAGTGATTTACAGGTGGGATGAAGAAGTAGAGAAAGAAAGAGAGAAAGGTACAGGTATGTATAAATACCACCAAATGTTTTAAGAAAATCCTACTTTGAATGCTTTTGGATAAGAGATCATCTCTCCCTGTAACAAGCTGTTAACTTTTTTTTTTTTTTGGTACTGGGAATCAAACTCAGGACCTTGCGTTTGCCAGGCAGGCACTGTGCCACTGAGCTATATCCCCAGCCCTGCTGTTAACTTTTTATCCAGTTATATACATTTATTTCATTTAGGAGTCTCACTGAAACAGACATTTAAGAGTTTGATCCTTATGTTTCTACACAGTAGAACTCCATTTAAATTTTATAGATAATTGAGTAATAATATTTGTATTCTAGAAAGAAAACACTGAGAAGCCAGACCTATGTAGGAGCTATTTTGGCTGACTTTGTGGCATATAATATTATATCAGCATAATTTGGTAGGCTGATGTAATATAATTTATGGAAAAGGTCTGCATTCATAGTTAGCATATTTACTTCTTGAAACCTTTATGTTTTAAGGTTTTATACTGCAGCCCTTCAAAATTAAGCTTATTGCCCATTTCTGCTGTTGTTACTGCATTGCAAACACAAAGAGGTGCTTTTTCAATTTCCCACTATTTTTATTTATAGAAAATTGCTTTTGGTCAACTTATTGTGAATATTACCTGCAGAATGTAGCAGAGTGTTGAAATAGCGCTAAATATTATACTAAGTAATTGTTTTTATTGCAGAACAAGGCACAGAAGAAGTTAAAAAACTGCTTTTACTCTTACTGGGTTGTGCTGTTCAGGTGAGTTAAAGTGTCTCTATATTTTTGTGTTAGCTTATTTAATGTTTTTTTCAAGCTGTAGTATTTGAAGTGGATCATTAGTTTTCAAAGTCTGTTGTAAAGTTTTAAATATTTGTATAACTTCCTATGGAGACTGTGTTGAAGAAAAAGTTATTCTGTTATTTTAAAATTTAATTATATTATTATGGCATTTAAAATCTTTATTCTTTTTCCTCTTCTGAGGTTATTAATGGCCCCTAAATTTTTCACATTTCTTCAGAGTTTTTTTTAGGAACCTCTCAAAAAATATTTATAACTTGTTTGTATGTATGCATATTTTAGAAGAATTAACAAAGGGAGATAGATCTTTTGCATATGGGAAAGGGATCAAGAGATGTAAGAAGGGAAGGAAGAGGATAGAAAAGGGAGATAAAAAGAATTAAGGAGTGAGCCTACCTTCTAAACTGGTACACATTAATAATATACTTAAAATAGAAAGATTCTCTAGTAATGTTAACTGTTCTTAAGTTTTCTCTAAATATATTAGCTAGTTTTGTTTAACTGTCTATAGATTCATACAATCCAGATTCATATTATGTGAAAAGGGCTTTATATAGTCTGTAAATTCAAGGTAGATATTCTTCCAAATAATCATCAGAAAGAGTTGGGAGTATTGAGCGGGCTAGTGTTAAAAGAGGACCCTAATGGGAAAAGTATATAAAAGGTTAATTATAGAAGGGGTAGAAGGTGGGGAAGAGAATGTAAAAAGAATGAAGAGGTGTTATGCACAGGTACCAGCTCCCCATGATGGATGTAATAATTATTGTGTACTGCAAACGTGTACTATAAAAAGTAAAAATTAAAACATAATTTAAACATGCACAGATATGATATTGTATATATATTCAAGGTAATTCAATGACATACTACTTTTACTATTTCTATTTTATCCTTAAAGTGTCTAACCTTTTAAATTAAAATGTTTTCAAACTAGAATACTTATTTCCAGTGAAATAAGACCTCTCAAAGATTGTTATTATAAAATAAAATATTAACTGCTAATACCATTTCCTACACGTTTATCACGCAGTTGTCTTTATGTGGGTTTATGTATGTCTTTGAACACAATCCTCCCAGTCCTGTGGGGAAACTTCCTAGTGTGGTTTAATAAGTTGCACAAGTCATACCACTGGAAATTAATGCCAGGACTAATTTCATTTGTTATACTGTTTTTAAAAATCTTTCTGTTTGCATAACTCAGGAGTTTTTCAAGTGGTCGTATCTTTGGATCAGTAATTTCATTTGTGGGTAATCAATTCTAAAGAAATGTTCCTAAATGTGGGAAAGATGTATGTGCGCAAATATGCCCATCCCGGTTTCGTTTGACAGTGAAAAATTGTAAGCTATATGAATAACTGTAGGACAATTACATAATCTACAATATATCACCTGATGAAAACCATAAATAACATAAAGATGCTTATGATATTACAGAACATAAAAATAAAATACAAATGTATGAATACAAAAATGATATTGTTAAGTAAGCAGAAAAATAATAGTGATTTTGAGATGTTTAGAAAGAATAGGACAGTGTGGAGATAATTTTAAACATTGATAATTTTAAAGGTTGAGGAGGTTAATTTTTTTTTAAGTTAACAAAAATAGTTCAGAGTCAGTGGATTAAATTTGAGAGGTGACTTTTGTATGGCTAGAGGCAATGGAGAGTATTCTATAATACTATGTTTGGAAGATGTCCAGGACACAAAGTTGTAAATTTATGTTAGAATAAAGAAAGAATGAGTAAAAGAAAAAAAAATTTTGTTTTAAAAGAAAACAAATTTTATCAAGTGTAGAAAGCAAGCTGAGGACTTGGAGACCATGGTCCTAAAGTGTGTCAGCTACATTGAAGGTTTTTATATAAATGAGATGGTACATAAACTTATCAGGAAACACGGAGAACAGTCTTTGTGTTACTTCATGTCTTTGTCCTCATACCAGAATTACCTTTTAACTTGAAAGCCCTTGAGACTTGAATATGTTGCAGTGATAGAACAGTAGCTCCACCAAGAAAGGAGAAAAGATAAGTTTTGAAAAACACTGATTCAGTTTGTACTTTCAGAATGGTAGTGACCTGATTTTTTCTCTTAAATAAGAGCAAAGATGCTGAGAAAACAACTTGTTGCAGAGCCATCACGTATGGCTAAAATGTAGAAAGAAGGCAAGGGGTAGGACAAAGATGCTGAGAAAACAACTTGTTGCAGAGCCATCACGTATGGCTAAAATGTAGAAAGAAGGCAAGGGGTTGACAAGAGATGGGTTATGAAGGACTGGAATTGCTGCTTTTACATTTCATCTTGTCAGCCTTTTGGAACCACTAGTGCTAATAACACCAAATGTGTAGAAGGCAAAACCTCCTGTCAGAGTGAAGTGTGCCAGCACATGCCTGTAATCTCAACACTCTGGGATGTTGAGACCCAAGGATTGCAAGTTCAAGCCCAGCCCCTTGTTTACTTCTCTGTCTTCAAAAAGTCTACCCCTTGGTTTCCTCTCCTCTTTCCTTTCTTCCACCTGCCTCCTTCCCTCGTTTATTGTAGGTCTCTCACGTGAGAGAAAACGTACACTATTTAGTGACTTAATATGACCATGTCTGAAAACGTTAAAAACGCCTGGACATGTAGCTCACTGCGAAGGCCTGATTCAGTCCCCAGTATCAAAGAAAAAAGCAGCTATCAGTCTTCAGCTGTGATTACACGAATAACTGTAAATCTTCGTGGATACTGAGTGAAGAGCCACAGTGCACATCAGGATAAGAAACTGTTGAGGAAACCAATCTGCCAAAAGTATTGTTGGAACATTTCTTAGAATGTCCTATTGCAGAAAACCTTGTTAAGCTAGTAGCTCCACAGGTTAAAATTCTGATATTTAGTATAATACATGGTGTAATACTATATTTAATCTTTAGTAAGTATAATACTAAATAGCAAAACATGCTCTCCACATCTGGGTTAATTTTATCTGTTAAACTTGTGATGTGCAGGTAGAAGTAGGAAACAAAGGGTGCTAATATGACACTAGAGTCCAGAAATTTAGTTGGTCATAGGTTTTAAAACGTTTCATTTTTTAAAATTAATTTTAAAACAGTAGACATGGAAATTGGAAAATAATTTGTTTCTTTTGGAGAAAAATTACAAAATTCTTGAGGAAGCAGCATTCAGAAACAGTCCAATGCTCTTACCGCACAAAACAAATAATTACTACTTTTTAATCCTTGATTCCTTCTAAATAAACACCACAGAAATAACTTTGAATATGAAAAAAATATTAAGAGCAGGACCTGGGATTGATTGGCTAAACCAGTTATCTTTGTCACTTTTCTCACTGCCTGGACAAAATACCTGACACCTGGAAAGGAAAGGAGAAGCTTATTTTGCATCCCTTACAGTTCATGGTCTTTGGCTCCAAAACAGGTCGGTGTGGCAAAGGGGCCTGCTGGAAGGAAAGCTGCTCTCAGCATAGCAGCCAGGAGTACAAAGCAAAGGGAGGAGCTGCATCCCCAGTGACCTTCACCTCCAGCCAGACCCCCCTGCAGCAAAGCAGCTATACTGCCCCATTATTCAGTCACATACCAAACGCGAGGCTCTGGGGCCATTTTAGACCTAAACCATAGATCAGTCAAGTTCCTTCCTCCTCTTTTGTTCTTTTTTTTTCTTTTCTGTGTGGGCATGTTAGCATTATAGAATGCTGGGGTTTGGGAAAGTTGGTACAGACATTTAACCTATTCTGATCATTTAAAATCCCATTACACCACCCCGCCTTCACTTCTCTGTCTTCAAAATGTCTACCCTGGGTTTCCTGTCCTCTTTCCTTTCTTCCCCCTGCCTCCTTCCCTCGTTTATTGTAGGTCTCTCATGTGAGAGAAAACGTACACTGTCTAGCTTTCTGAGTCTGAGTTATTTCACTTATGACAGTTTCAAGTTCCACCAATTCTCCTGAAGACAGTGTGATTTCATTCTTCTTTATGCTGATATTTCACTCTACATATGAGTCTTGGAATCCAGGGTTGAATTTGCTGAGTTTGAGAGCTACCATACAGTATATCGTTTACCCATCAGTTATAAAGTATGTATATGTAGTACATATGAATACATATGTAAAGTATTTTAAATTAGCATTTTAGAACTTGACCAGGGGCTGGGGATTTAGCTCAGTGACACAATGCCTGCCTGGCAAGCGCAAGGTTGTGAGTTCAATTCCCGGTACCAGGGAAAAAAAAAACAAAAAATAAGAACTTGACCAATTGCATTACTTTTTTAAGAAATGTAATTTCTGGCAGAGGCATTTCTTTTTTTTTTTTTGGAATGCATAGAAATAGCAAACTTAAAAGGGATTGTTTTTCTGATCTTTTTATTTCAATTTTTCTTATTTTTTAATTGTGATAAAGTATGCAGATGAAATTTGCCATTTTAACCATTTTTAAGTATATGGTCTACTGTTACTCACATTATGCTTTCACATTGTTGTGCACATTTTCTGAAACAAATTCTCTATGTATTAAACAATAATATAACATCTCTTTTGCTGCACTTGGCAACCACCATTTTACTGTGTCAGTATTATTTGGGCTGCTCTAAGTACCTCATTTAATTAACATACATACTTGTTCTTTGGTATTGGCTTCTTAAGCAGGCTCATCCATCCTGTAGCATGTGTCTGAATTTCCTTCCTTTGGAAGGCGAATAATATCCTAGTGCATTGTGTATTGTGTTCATGTCTCCATCTTTGATAGGCACTTCCTGTTGCCTGTATTTCCTGGCTGTTGTAAATAATGCTGCTTTGAACATGGGTGTTGAGGGCCCTGCTTTTATTCTTCTGGATATGTCCTTAGAAGTGGAATTGCTGGCTTATATGGTAGTTCTGGCTCTTACATTTTTCAAGGAATTGCTGTACTGTGTTCTTTTTTGTTTTTTTTTTCCCGGTTACGGGAATCGAACTCACGACCTCGCGCTTGCCAGGCAGGCACTGTGCCGCTGAGCTAAATTCCCAGCCCCTGTACTGTGTTCTAGAGTGACTACCAAATTGCATTCCCACCAGCAAGGCTTAGGGAGCTTGTTTTTCTACATCATCACTGACATTTGTTTTCTGTGTTTTTAGTAGTCATCCTTGAAGAGCACGTTTTAATTTTTACTTCTTTGTAGCTTATTATGGTCTTTAGTAACATTATAATTTTTAAATTATAATTTTATTAGTGTTTTTATTCTTAAAAGATTTTATTCCCAGTTTTATTATTTTCTAGTTCAATAGTGTTTGGGATGCTCTTCCCTCTAGTTTAATTTTTCCACATCTGTATTCTTTAAGAGGAGAGTACTAAGTAAAAATATGAAGAATAATATATTAAGAATTTAGCGAGGTGTGGTGGCACATGCCTGTAATCTCAGCACTCAGGAAGGTGAGGCAGGAGGATTGCTGCTAATTTGAGATCAGCCTGAATTACAGAGCGAGATCCTGTCTCAAAAAAAGAAGAAAAGAAAAAGAATTGAAGCTGTCTCGTGGCAGATGTACAACTTTAAGCTTAATACAGCTCTTCCTCCCACCTAAATAAAATTTTTCCCTTATCTCAGCTTTCATTATTGTATTCTTAGAACACTGTAGCAATTTGTTGGCTTAGAAATCAGTTACTATAACATAATTAAGATTAATTTTAGAACTGAGCGACTTTGTTGAAGATAATAGTATGTAATATAGCAACCATTGTAAAATTTCTGTCATTTTGTCTTGAGGTCATGTATTATTTTTCTTTTTTTGTTTTGATTTTGTTTTCATTGTTGTTATGTCAGTTTTTAATTTTTAAAATGAAAAATTTAATCTTAATGTCTGACAGTTTGAAAACTTGAAATATAGAGCATAATTTTAAGTCAAAGAAACATTTTGTTGTTAGTTTTGCCAGTCTTTTGCACTAAAAATGGGGGGAAAAAAAGAAGTTACATCATTCTTTGTGATGAATGTGATCATCATGTATATCTAAAATGTACCAATAAAATCTGATTGAAAGAAAATTATATGTTATCAATACTAGATTTTTCTTATGTTCTAGAGCTATAATAGCCACTAAATTTTCAGTTTCTCCTTCGTGCTAACTACATTTCAAGTAGTTATTAGCCACATGTTGGACAGTTCTGATACAGACTATTTGATTTGATTATCTAACTTCAAAGTTTGATTCTTCTCTTATTCTCTTTCTGTTTTGATGTTTTCTTTCCTGTCCTTCAGGATCCTATGAAATTCACTGTACTTTTTAAGAAACTCTAATCTATTTATGAAACATTTTCAGAATTGTTAAAACTTGAGAGCTTGTTTTAAGGGGCGATTTGTAGAAATTGTGTGTATTTTAGGGTAAAAGAATTCTTAACTGATGTGTGCTGAGAATGTGCTAAAGGGTGAGATCCTAAAGATAGGAGTAAGGAAACAGTGGCTCTGGCACTTAGAAAAGGAAAATGTTTTTGTTTTGTTTAAATTAAATGCATAAAAACCTAAGACAGTTGAATTGGGAGACTCTGGTGAGTCATAGTCATTATCTTTTATAATAATCCTGCCGTTTTATATTCTGATTGGCTCAGAAACTGAATAGTCTACAGTTAGAGAAATGCTGCATTAAGAAGTTGAAGTTACTGTACCTGAAAAGTTAGTTATTTTATATATGCTGTGAATGTACAATTAGAAAGTAATTTTTAATTTTTCTCATAGGACTGTGGAACATTAAACAGGCATAAAATTTGTGTTTTTAAACTCACTAATTTTCATTGTTTCCCCCAAAATCAGACTTCAAAGTCATAATTAAGAATTGTACATTCCTGGTATTTTAGTTTTAAACAGTTATATCATCCTGATAATTTTTTACAGAATGTAGAACTTTGTGCATTGAATGGGAGTATGTTTAAATTATATGGCAACAGAAATAAAATATTAAAGTTTGGTAAACTTGAAAATATAAATCAGAGCCTTGTAAATTTCCAAATGATCAAAGAGCCATTTCTGTGTTTGTGGCAGGCGGGTATATTGTCTTCATTGGTAGTTCAGTAATTGGCCTAGGAGATGCATCTGGCTAGACAAAGCAGTCCTGTCTATTTTGCATGCACTTCTCATTTGGTAGCTGCAAGAATACGGTTACACTAACAAGTTGGATTGCAATGTAAGACATGTAGACCGAAGCAGAGATTAAGATTCATGTGAAATTGTTGCTTAATACTTGTAGGAAAAGACTAGGTTTACATTAAAATATTTTTAATTTATATAAAACTCTTTAAAAGTTACATAATAAAGAATTGCTGCCTTTATTCCATTTGGTTTCATGTATATATAGTTTTAAATTTTGCATCAGTAACTTGATGTCATGTTAAAATCAAACCAGATATTTATTGTGTCATCTTCTAAATGTTGAACTGGCTACAAAAGTGAATTTCTTTTACTAATATTGATAGGATGAAGATGTGAACATGAATTATAAACTTGAAGTAAAAATTGTTTAAATTTTTTTCCCCAAGAAGAAAGGCTGTGTTGTTTGGTGATAGCCAGGGACTGACTGAGCGTTTTGGCTGTATTCCGAATTCTGCCACTGACTCACTGTGTTTTTTGGCAAGTTACTTATCCTCCCTGAAACAAGTTCTTGATTCTTTACTTCTCTGCTTGTAAAACTAGCATAATAATATCGTACTGACCTCAGATGGGTTGTGTAATAGTTTCTCACTTTAGAACTTCCCAGTATTAAAATAGTATGAATTTGCAGTACCTTGCTTTTTAAAATAATGTTTCTAAATCATTATTTCTATTAGGTAAGTACATTAGAGAGGCAATTTAAATGTAAAACAAAAACCTTACTGTACTGTTTAAAACATAGCCAAGCCTGATGAGTTTTAGATACAACAGTTTCAGGCAAAGTATAAATGATTATTTTATTCTTAATTATAGTGTCAGAAAAAAGAAGAATTTATAGAAAGAATTCAAGGATTAGATTTTGATACAAAAGCAGCAGTTGCCGCGCATATTCAAGAGGTAATCTATAAATTTTTATGTACTTTTTATGAAGCTTGTGGTGTGCATACTTATATATCTCTGAGAATACTTAGTCTTAGTATACGCAGAACAAATCAAGGTAAATATAAGCAAACCCTATTTTTATGCAAATTGTCTTATTTTTGGAGATAGCTACTTAAGTGCGCATCATCTTATAGATGGCACATTGCTAACTACAGATGTACTGTGGCCTTTATCTATGAAGATACAGGGGAAAAGTGTTATTTGAAGAATGAAGTGTAAGTCTTTATTAGACAGTGCAGAATGAATCATATAATAAAAGGAAGTGACATAAATTGGAACACTGCTCATAATTTAAAACTGTAGAGACCTAGAATGATAAGCTTACTATTATCATTCCTATGATTCTTTTTTAAATAAATGACATAAAAATTTTACTAAATATATTACTTGACTTATAAGTTCACTGATAATTTGTAACACACTTATAAAACCTTAGGGCACAATGTCAGTGTCAAAGAATTAGAGTCAAAATATTAGCGAAGATTTACCTTTCAGTCAGGGAAGGTGTCACACACCTGTAATCCCCGCACTTGAGAAGCTGAGGCAGGAGGATCCTTAAGAGGTTCGAGGCCAGCCTGGGCTACAAAGTGAGATCAAGGCCAGCCTGGACTGCATAGTGAGACCCTGTCTCAAAAAGACAAAAAAAATTTAAAAAAGATTTACCTTTCACAATATCTACTAAGGGAAAGGAAAAAAGGAAGGGGGGAAAATCTATATCTGTATCTATATATTTATATATATATATACACACACACACATACACACAAGATAGCTAACATAATTGTACTACTAATTTCTATTAGTTCCTTGAAAGGAACAGTTAGTGCTTAGATTGATGAATTTTGCATGCCTGTATCTGGTAATCTGAGCAAATACTTTGAAGATAATATGCAATATAATAACCATTGTTAATTTCCTATCATCTTGTTTTGAAATTGTGTATCATTTTTTAAATTCTCTTTAAAATTTAGAAAGATTTATTTTTGAATAAAATAAATATTTCTGCATCTGTCTGCTCTTTGATTTTTAATCTTGTAAAGGCTTTAGATTACATTAGCGTGTATTAAACTACATGTTGATTAGAAAGGGAAAGGAGAGAAGGGGGAATGAGAATTTTTAAATAGTGAAGATTGGTAGTATTTTAAATATTCTTAATTTATATGACTTTGTATTTTATATATTATCTTTTCTCTTAGTTAAAATTTACAGAAGCTGCAACTCAGCTATTCCCCGACTAGGTATCTTCCCAAAAGATGTAAAGACACTATTTTATAGTGATGGGTGCATACCCATGATTATAGCAGCGCAGTTCATCTTAGTTACATCTTACAAGCAGCAATTACTTACAAGTGAATTGATAAAGAAAATGTATTCATACACAACGGAGTACTGCTCTGCTATAAAGAAGGATAAATTTGAGTCAGTGGTAGGAAAATGGGTGCACTTTGAGACCATAATATTAAATGAAGTCAGAAACAGGAGATTAAATAATGTATGTTTTCTCTTACATGAGAGATCCAAAGTATAAATAAGCTAAAGAACAAAATAAAAGATAGATGAAAGGAAATAGCAAGATAGATACTTTGCAGATGGAAAGTGGAACAAGAAATGGAGGGAAGAGAGGAGGGGAAGGGGGTTTAAAGAGAATTAAGGTGTATTGTGTACATCTGCCAAATACATACAGTGAGAGTGGCCGTTGTGTATCACACTCAGACACTAACTCTAAAAATTCATGGAGGCCGCATACCTTCTCAGTAACATTGTTTTCGGTAGAAAGCGTATTGGGACTTTAAAAAGAATGTGTGTGTGTGTGTGTGTGTGTTTGTGTATTAATACTAGCTTTGTGATTTTATTTCATTTTGAATAAATGCTAAGTATTACAAGTTGCTGAACTTGTACCATCTTTAAAAGTGTTATTTTTGCTGTTTATTGTAAAAGTTAAAGCAAAATACCGGAATTGTAGCTAGAAATGGAAAGCAGCAAGTAAGTATTTTATTTATGTAACCATTCTTTTAAAAATCCTTATATTGAGAATAATTTTTCCTAAGGTACTATGATCACATCACCTTCAGAATCTATAAAGATTTAGCTATTCAAGTGAAATACAGTAATATATATACTACATGATTAAAACTTTACTTTTGAGTTGTTCTAATACATTTAAAGCCTTACCTAAGGAAAAGTTGATTTTGTTTCATTAGTTTTAATGCACTTCTATAGTCATCATGATAGCTTTTTCATTACATTTTATACGTCAGTATTTAAGAATCAGCCGTGTTTTAGTTGTTTATTTTGCTTGCCTTTCCAAAGGTAACCCATAATCAAGAAAACGTATTTGATCTGCAATGGATGGAAGTGACAGATATATCTCAGGAGGATATAGAACCCCTCTTGAAAAATATGGCACTGCATCTAAAAAGACTTATAGATGAGAGAGATGAACATTCAGAGGTTTGTAAATTTCTTTCAATGTATTATGAGACTTCGCACTAAGAAGAAAAGAAAATAGTGTCAGAAGCTTTCCAAAACTGATACTCTGTATTTTAGGAACTGATAAGAAAGTGCAGTCATCCCTTGGTATCTGTGGAGGATTGAGTCTAGGACCTTTGGAGGAAACCACAATCTATGACTGCTTAAGTCTCACATAGCATGATGAGTTGTTTGTCTGTAACTCCTGCATAACCTGTACACATCCTCCTGTTCACTTTGTCATCTCTAGATTACTTAGCACAATGTGAATATTATGTAAGTAGTTGTTGTAATGTGTTGCTTAGGGAATTTTGACAAGATAGAGTCTGTGCGTTTTTCAATACCAACACAGCTTTCTTCCTGAATATTTTCTACCCACAGCTGGGGAATATATGGATATGTGGAGCCTATATGGAGGGGTGGCTATACATTTTTGAGGTTTTTGGGTTTTTGTTTGTTTTTGTTTTTGGTGAAACGCAGTAGCCAGAAAGTAAATATAAGAATACTAAATTGCTAGTAAACAAATTGCAATTAGATATTCATTTCTCCACTCCTTATAAAATAATATTATTCTCATTTATTTCTATGTGTTTTTCAAGTCATCTCCACAGCTCTGGCAACAGTACAGAAGTGTGAAACTTAAAAATATAGGTGATGTAAGTGGAAAAACCATTGCCTTGAAACATAAGAATTTTCTTAAGGTTGATTTCTTAGTTTTATTGCCACGTTTTGAAGTTGGAAAAATAAGTATTAATGGAAGGAGAATAACAGGTGTTCTGAATAAAATGTCCCACAAAAAGCTCAAATTTTTGTAGTGTGATGAGGTGTGATTTTAAAGAGAATTATTATGAACTCCTTAAAGTAGAAGTTTGCCGTTCAAGAAGAATAAAACAGCACTGAATTGTTTCTTTGCACTCTGAAAGCAATTTATAATTTTAGAGCAGTCTAGACTTTAGTGATGAGTAATATTTTCTTAATAGTAGGCCAAAGTTGCCTTTCAGGAGAAGGTAGAGCTTTAATTAGTTATTCCGTTTATGAATGATAGTTTTGAAGTTAGAAAGTTTGTATTCCTTCTTTTGGGACCATGGCCAGACTAGTATAGGAAGTTTTTAAAGATTTTTGTGTTTTGCTTTTGTCTTTTTGAGACAGTTTTGCTATGCAGTTCAGGCTGGCTTTGAAGTCACTTTGTAGCCCAGGCTGGCCTCGAACTGGCAGTAATCCTCCTGCCTCAGCCTCCCAAGTGCTGGGATTACAGGTGTGTGCCACACCTGGCCCTAAAGTTTTTTCTTACAAAATTTTCATGTTTCTGTAGAGTGTCTTCAATTTTGATGAGAATTGTAATTTTTCTTCAGGGGTTAAAAGAGAAGAAAATATAGGAAGTAGATCGTTTTAAAATAACAAATGTTTTTTATATAACTAAAAGTGAGATCAAAGGAAGGAAAAAATGCATCAAAAATAATCCTACTGTGTATCAAACTTGTCTAGCTTAGACAATTTTATTTTTAAACCATATGTTCTATCTTCTTTTGGTTTCAGTATCTTTTTACTGCTGTATTGATTATATAGGACATTCCTTTATTTGTATTTCAAGTTTTTAAAGATACTGCAGTAAGATATCCTACAGGCTCTGAGAAATTACTTCAGAAAATCTGTACTTTGGTTTTGTATGACTCATGGGCATGTATAAATTGCTTTTCTCATTTATATTACCTATTAATGGGGTGAACAAAAAGATACTTGTCATTACATGATTGTGTGGCAAATCTAACAGGAATATGATGAAATGCTGTACAATGATTGTTTAGAAAACTTTTTAGAACATATACTGCCAGAATAAGCACTTTTTTGTTGTTGAACTATTTTTCTAATAAGGAAAATAATGATTAGCCATACTCTCCTGTCTCAGATATTTGGGAAGCGAGTTGCTAGCTGGTTAAGTCCAATTTTGTGGGAAAGTTTTTTTCTTTTCAGGTTGAGCCAATAGGCAAATTAGAAAAAGTCATTAAAAATACTTGTGAAAATATCAGACAAATGTAAAGATAGTATGTAAATATAATAATTTTCTATCATTCAATAAAATTAAAGCAATTTCTTATGTAGATTTTTTTTTTCTCTTTGGGGAATTTTTTATTTTGTATAGTGCTGTGGATCAAACCTAGGCCCTTAACCATGCTAAGCAAATGCTCTATCCATGAGCTACACACCAGCCTCTTTTTTTCTCTTTTGACTGCTCTTTTATCATAATTGTTTATATCATCCTAAATATATATATATATATTTGGTTACCCTGTTTTTAATTTCTCTATCTTTTTTTTTTTTGGCAGTACTGTGGAACCTCATCCTCACATGTGTTAGGCAAGCACTTTATCACTGAGGTACATCCCCAGCTTTATTGTTTTGGTTTGGTTTTTTGAGACAGCATCTTGCTATGTAGTTCAGGCTGGACTTGAACTCGTTATGTAGCCCAGGCTGGTCTTGAACTCCTGATGATCATCCTGCCTCAGCCTCCGAGTGCTGGGATTACAGGCCTGCACCATCACGCCCTGCACCCAGTCTTTTTCAGATCTTTTTTTGAGATTTATTTTGAGATATGGGCTTGCTAAATTGCCCAGGTTGGCCTTGAACTGGTGGTCCTTCTGCCTCAGCCGCCTGAGTAGCTGAAATATTTAAGGCATGTGGCACTACCCTGAGGACTTTTCTACTCTTTTTTTAATTTTTATTTTAAAGAGAATAGTAAATGAGAAACAAACAAAAAATAGAACAGTAGCAGCATCCCAGTATCACAAACATAAACAAATCAAAGCAAGAACATCCAAAGTGATATAGGGTCTCAAGACAAAATAATACGAATCAACAGTGGTTGTGACTTTTCTATTCTTAATGCTATGAAACATGTATGTCTTTAGTCTTCTTCTTTTAGTAAACATTAGATTTTAATGAATCTCTTTATTGTCACTGTTTATTTGATGCCAGACTTTGTGCCCAAATTTAGCAATGCTTTCTTATTAAATCTGTACAATAACCGGATTTTGTAGATGGAAGACTCTTGAGCTCAGTGAAGTTAAATAACTTACCACATCTGTGTAGCTCAAGTGCTCATGGTCCAAACTATTGTAATACATTTGCTTCTGTCTATGATTGTACTGAGACCATCTCTAATTCTTTTCTTTAATAATGGGTTTTTTAAGTCAAATTAATAGGTCACCAGAATTTTTTTCTTAGCATTAATATATTTTTTTCTGTTCATTCTTTAACATAAGTTAATGAATTCCTGCTTTTTGTAGGAGTTAGAGGGCTCCAGAGCAACAAACTGTTTGAAAAAAAGAAATCAAAGATTATTAGTCTTAATGCAGGTGTGCTGGCACACGCCTGTAATCCTGGCATTCAGGAGGCTGAGGCAGGAGAATTGTTGTGAGTTTGAAGCCAGCCTGGGCTGCAAAGTGAATTTAGGGCCAGCCTGAACTGCATAGTGAAACTCTGTCCCAAAAAAGACAGGAAACAAACAAACAAAAAAAGAAATTGAAGAACCAAACAGATTATTACAATCTTTTGTAATAGGGAAGTTCTTTTAATAAAATAATTAATTAATAAAACTTTGAAAGTACCACATATCTAAATACCAGGAATTTAAAGAAGGAACTACTTGCAGCTGCTAGTTGGAAAGGACCAAGGAAAGCCTGTGAAATTAGTTCCTTAATGACATTTCCTGTCAGATTGTTTTGAAAATGTATGAGAAGCCTTGAACTAATGAAGCTACTGTCAATAAAGAAAAGTAAAAAAAAAAAAAAAAAAAAAAAATCTAAATAAGTTTTAATGGTAAATGTATCTGGATACCATTAACCTTTATTTTTATTTTATTCGTACATGTTTGTAGTACACGTAGTTTACATTCATCTTGGTGAGTAGGTACATTTACTTAACACAGCTTGTTTCTTCTTTTAATGTTAACCCTTAATCTCAGGCATTTTCTTTTTTAAAATTTTTATTTTTGCAGCACATAGTTCTTTTTTTAAACATAGTTCTTTTTTGCTCTCTTCACTGACATCAAGAAGCTCTCGGTAACTTTATTTCACCAACATTTAGGTTCAAATGTTATGTTTGTCTTTTGTAATTTTCTTGCATTCTCTGACTTGTCAGTTGCTTAATTGAATATTCTGAGCACCTGTTTTTGTGTTCTGTACTATGCTGGTTAACCTGGGAGAATGAGAAGTGCAAAGGAGGTATAAGATTGTAGTTCATTAAGAAAAACTACATTATAAGTGAAAATGCGTGCCTTAGGTATAATTAGGTATTAATTTATTTGTGCATGGATCAGATATTTATTTAATACTACCAGTTACTCTTGTGAGAGTCAGGAAATGTTGGAGTGTACGATTAAAGGTAATTGGGACAATGAGGAAGTCATCACATAACAGTTCAATCCAAGGAGGTGAAGCCAAGCCACTGTGGAGATGAGTGGCACTATCCGCAGACGCAGGAAGTGGGGATGGACATGCTCAGCTAAGTGGATGGGGTACAGTAGTGTCAGTAGACATAGACACTACCTTTTACAAAGAAAAGAAAAGAATGGTGGTTTTTGTCCTATTTTTTTACTAGATAGAAGAAATTTGTGTGTATATCTTTGAAGAACAAGTAGAAATAAGCCAGTAGCAAGAAAGAAATTGAAAATGGTTCAGTAAGGAATATGTGTTAGGAGCAAAAAATGCCTAAGAACAGAGGAGGTAACCCAGTTGATTTTTTTTGTTTGTTTTGAGACAGTGTCTTGCTATGTAGTTCAAGCGGGCCTTGGACTCACTATGTAGCCCAGGCTGACCTTGAGCTTGGAGCAGTTCTCCTGCCTCAGCCTCCCAAATGTTGGGATTATAGGCATGCGCCACCATGCCCAGCACCAGGTTAATTTTGTTTCTTGGGTAAATTAGGGAACAGGTCATTTTTTGGCAGTGATGAAAGCAGCTGGCAATTAGAGGTTTAAGTAGAGGGAAGGGAACATACTTACAGAAATTTTTGTAGGGAATTTGCTAGAAAATTCAAAATTTCGATGAAAGGATTGATGAGTATGAAGAACTTTATTGGAAACAGGGCAAAATCCTGTATAGCACTGTGTAATTTTTTTTTCTTTAAGAGCTCTGTCAAATAGAGAAGACTGGTGTTAGATAAGGAAAATAGTGTTGAGTCATACTTGAATTTTAATTCCTGCTGTACCTATCATTGGTTGTGTGACTTTGGTTATTTAACCCTATATTAGCCTAAGTTTCTTCATGTGTAAAATGCACATATCTGTTGCACATTACAGTACTAGATGACATCTTATAGAGGCTCCCCTAGCTGGAAATTGTCTGTCTATAAATGATCCACTGAGTAGAAGTAGCTAGAAATAATTTTGTTAGGCAAGAGGGCAGGAGTTTAGTGATGAAAGAATAAAGCGTATATATGATGCCAAAGGAACAGTAATAGCAAAAGAGGTATGCTACAGAAGAATTGGCTCCTTTACTGGAGAAGCCTGCATATATCGAAGAGGGAGAGTGATCATGGAGTTTTAGAGAGAAGAGAAACTGCAAAGTTGCCTGAGGTTTAGCAGTGTGTATGCCGAGATAACCTGAAAGCAGTAGTTGCAGGCAGGAAGGAAAGGTGGATCTTGATAAAGGTGTTGAAATGTATTCCAACAGTAATGATTCCATGAAGGTTGATAGACTTGTTGATGAGAAACAAGGATGGTGATTTCATAGTTCCAAGGTAGTAACCCGACTCATTGTGTTTACAGTAATAGAACAGTTGAAATTGCCTTAGAAGATCATTTCAGTTTGCCTACCAATCTTGAAAGGCAAGCTGAGAAGTTACTTTGGAATAAGAGAATTTACTACTACAGAAAAATAATTAGGGGAATGATTATGTGAGCCAAATGTGGGTTAAATAGCTCTTGAAGCTGGGCATGGTGGTGTACACCCATAATCCCAGCATGCAAGAGGCTGACACAGAAGGATTACCAGGGACTTCAGGACAGCCTGAAGTGAGAGCCTGTCTTTAAAAATAAAAAAATTAAAAAAAAAAAATAGGAAAGAAAAGAGAAAAAGCTCTTAAAGTTCAAACTTAGGAAAAGGGATGTGGACATGTGTAACTGTGGAGAGAAAATAAAGGTCTGTGGAGAGAAAATAAAGGAAGCTATGAGACAAAAGTAGGTCAGAAATAATACCACGTGTTCAGAAAGAAAGTGAGATGTAGGGTTTTGCATTACTGTTGGCTACACGTGATCAGAGCAGGTCAAACTATAAGGTTTTATTATGGTTCCTTTAGAGACTGGTCCCTTTAGAATTTTATGATCCTAGAGCAGTGTTGTCCAGTTCTTCAGTGATGACAGGACTGTATTTCTGTACCCTATAGTACAGTAACCAAATGTGGCTCTTGAATGCTTGACATGTGGCTAGTGTGACTCATGGCTACCACAGTACAGAGCACTCAGGCAAATTTCTTTACTGTATCAAGTTTTCTGTATCTGTCCAACAGTTGCTATCTGGTTATTTTATCATAATTGATATCCTTTGTTAAAAAAATAGGAAGGGAAAAAGTATTACTCTAAATAGCTCATGTATTAATTGTTGAATAAAATTTTACAGTGACATCTAAATAAGACAAAGGTAAGATGTTTTTGACCACCAAATTCTTTTTCATGTTGTAGTGCAATAATAAGTTGCAGTGAATAGTGCTGATATGTTAGTTTGCAGATATATGTGGAATACTAAAAGTGACTTTATGTTTATTCTTGTAATTCATAGACTATCATAGAGCTCTCCGAAGAGCGAGACGGTCTTCATTTTCTACCCCATGCCTCTTCATCTGCACAATCACCCTGTGGCTCTCCGGGCATGAAGCGAACAGAAAGCCGGCAGCATCTGTCAGTGGAATTGGCGGACGCTAAGGCCAAGATAAGGCGGCTTAGGCAGGAACTGTAAGTTGCTGGTTTATAAGGTTCATTGAAGTTATAGGGTCACAACAGTGACCTAAATATTTTTACATTTCTTCTTTTTTTTTTTTTCTAAATAATATTTTTTAGGCTGATGGAGTAAATAGTAGTGATGCTTCATTGCTACTCTTACCAGAGTTTTCACTAGCAGTTTGTCAAAATAAAAAAATAAGGATCCTGGTGTATGGTTTTCCTAATGTTAAAAATCTTACCAGTTTAAAAGAAAGCAGCTGCTTTTACTGCACCACTAAGAGAAACAGATCCCAGGTCTGATTCCC